TGAGATATTCAGAACCTCTTTTAGCCTGAACATGTATCATCATTCTTCAAACATTCACTCAGGTAAACATATTCTGAACAGAGACTGGCATATTATATGGCATTTTAATAGATGTTGGCTGCGTTGACGTATCAAAGCAACAGGCCGAATGCGGACCATGCTTTCTATTATAATGTCTGTGAGCAGTACACCAAATGTATGGAGAGACAACACAATCTCACGGCAATTTGTAACTTTTTCATTTAGTGGCTAATTCGTACAAATTCGCACGATCTAATTCCTACATTTTAGTACGATTTGCTTATCCCCCAATGACGGTTGGGTTTAGGGGTGGGGTTAGGTCCTTTTTCTTACGACTGAACTCAAAATACTCACAAGAAAATACTTACGTTTTTTCGTGAGATCGCACACATCAAGCAGCAGCAGGGCAGAGATATTCAAGATTTGTAAAGACATACAGCTCTGGATAGCTTAAAACAGCGGCCACTAGTTTCTCCTTCATCTTTAAAAGTCTCCATAGTCATCTTGACAACACAAACACTGCTGCCACCTCAATGTAAACCCCACCTCTACTTTCATTAAAATGGAGGATGAAAATAACATGACTGACGTAACACTCTTTTCCGCTCAGAGTTGACTTCTTTTCAACTGCGAACACTCGCAGCCATTAGTAAACCATTCAGAAGATGTGCCTCTTAATGCAAAAAGCGTGTTCGGTGTGATCGGCCTTTAAGTGTGGTCAGAATGTCCACTGTGGATATTCTAGTCATTATAGAATTCCGGTTGTTCCAGTGTTACAGTATCGTGTGTTTTTGGCTGATTTCCAGAGATAATTCTGGACATATGGTTTGACTGTAATAAGAGTCAAGAAGGACAGTGACTGTGAAACTTAAAAAAAATGACAAAACTGACTATAAAAGTTTGAGAAAAGTGATTCACATGACTGAAACATTCTATTCTGAAGTCAATTCGATAGCTTTGTGTGACAGACAGACCCAATTACATTTTGTTATTCACTCACACACACACACGCACACACACACACACACACGCACACACACACACGCACACACACACACACACACACACACAAAATTTATTAAATGTGTTATTTAACAAAATTCCTGACATTGGCTGTTGGCCTTCAGTATGTGACTGGGTTCACTGTAGTTTACAGCGTCTCAACCTGAATTAAAAGCACGAAGCAAGTGATAAATCGAGATTAATAAAACATGAAACACTGCTGAGAAATCTCTGTGGACTAGATCTGGGGTTTGCAGATAACAGTCAGAATGACAGTTGGCAGATGACTGTGATAACTTGATGTTACGACAAACACAACAGGTGTATTTGCATTAGAAGTACATGGTTTGCATTTTAAGTTGCAAATTTGCACATATTTTCATTTAATTTCTCACAACTTATCTGTGCTATGTTATGTGGATTGGGGAAAATATTGATACACCATAGTATTTTGATATTTTCTAATACAATATTACAGTTGAAGTCGAAATTATTAGCCCCCCTGAATTATTTTAGCCCCCCAGTTAATTTTTCCCCCAATTTCTGTTCAATATTAAAATGTTCATCTGATTTATGTACAATGCAGTTTGTACAGTATTTTTTTCTGTCTTTTAGTAGATATATTATAAACTTGCTTTGTTTACCAAATAATGTGTATCTAATTGTATGTGACTTTTAAACATTAAATAAAGTTAAAAAGGTATTTTTTTTATTTCACATATTAAGGTTTTAGTTATGATACTCCCAAAATAATTTTGCAGAAATCCACAAATTTTTACCAAAATTCTCTGCAGAAATAGCAAAAAATGTCTGCAGATTCCGTCTGGCCCTAGCTACGAGTAATAATTTACTGTAGTTGTGCCTGTAAATCTTTTTAAACTCTTAAAAGGCCAATAGCCTTTGACTTGCTTTGTATGAATCGCTAAGAACCACATTTTCATCTAAAAAATCATCTTCTTAAACAGTTAATTAAGTTGTCTTAGACTGTAAAAGACTGTTAAAGTGTTGAAATAAAGTAATAGTTTACCAAAATGTAAAAAAAAAAAAAGAAGTGATGATAACAGCTTCCACAGCCACAGTCACCAGAGCTCAATCTAATAGAGCACCTTTGGGATGTGGTGGAACGGGATTTTCGCATCATAGACATGCAGCCGATAAATTTGTAGAAACTGTGTGATGCTATCATGTCAATATGGACCAAAATCTCTAAACAATATTTACATAACCTTGTTGAATCTATGCCACGAAGGATTAAGGTAGTTCTGAAGAAAAAAGGGGCTGCAGCCCCGTACTAGTAGGGTGTACCTAATAAAGTGGCCGGTAAATGTATCATGTGCATGATACATCAAATTTAAGGCACTTCAAGAACTGAAGAAAAACGTTCACCTACATATTCAAAGAATGAGCAGGAAAAAAAAAACACATTTATTTTTAATGGAACTATCCCTTTAACTCCTTGTTCCTAATTACCTCCAGTGCTTCTGTATAAAAATAAATAAAGAAAGAATCAATAGTGTATCATCTGCCAAAGATCTATCCTGCTTTACAAAGTGTCTGACAACTCCAGCACATCCGTCAGGGCCCGAGTGGCTCCGGCAACATCCCTCGGCGTCAGTTTGTTTGTCTCGGGGTGTTTCTCTTCTTCTCCTCTTCTCTCTTCTCTCTGTGGAGGATGTGGGCTGTCATGTTCCCGCTCTGGTTCTCTCTTCACTTGACACCCCCCTTGTTCATTATGAGTCGGTGACATCACCACAAGGGCAATCAAAAGTGTTTGAAAAACGTGAGGCTCATTAGAGAGAGAGCTGATGTATGACTGCTATTTGTGCCGCCATGTGAAGAGATAAACAATGGTGCACACAAACACGCTCAGCTATCTTGTGCTCATCTGCTATGCCAGCGTAGCTTTGAATTCACATGGGCTGTGGAGTGTAAAAGCTAAGTAACTTTCTAATGGAGAGCATGAGAGATTCAGAGCATTGACTGGGTAAATATGGTCAATCTTGCGTATTATGCTGGGTTCACGCCAAGGTTATTTTGATAAATGAAAACTAAAATGAAGACTAAAAAACTATTTACATTCATTCATTTATTTTCTTATTGGCTTAGTCCCTTTATTAATCGGAGGTAGCCACAGCGGAATGAACCGCAAAATACAGCATATGTTTTACGCAGCATATGCCCTTCCAGCTGCAACCCATCTCTAGGAAACATCCATACACACTCATTTACATTCATACACTACAGACAATTTGCAATTCACCTGTACCGCTTGTCTTTAGACTGTGGGGGAAACCGAAGCAACCTAGAGGAAAAACACGTAAAACCGTGGAGAACATGCAAACTCTACACAGAAATGCCTACTGAAATGCTCGAACCAGCGACCTTCTTGCTGCGAGGGGACAGCACTACCTAATGTGCCAACGCTTCCCCCCGAAAAACTATTTTGTTTGCTGAAATAAAAACACAAATCACAATAAATGAAACGTAAAAAAAAACTGAGATTAACAACAGCCACTGAAAAATTTACTGAAAAAGAATAATAATTAGCTAAAATACGTATAATTAAATAGAAAATCTGAGCTGTGGCAGTTTAGAGAAACACCTGTAGATGGCATTTCACTGACAAACACATTGTCTTTGGCCCCTAAAAAAAGGAAAAAACTAAACCAGGTATGTTAAACTACATACTTTATCTTTAATTAAAATTAATATTTAATTAAGTTTGTCATAATTAATCATATATATATATATATATATATATATATATATATATATATATATATATATATATATTTTTTTTTTTTTTTTTTGGTTTTGTTTCACTGTGCTGTATTTTATTTTTATTAATAAGAGGTTTGTTGCTGGCTGCACGGTGACGTAGTGGGTAGCACGTTAGCTTCACAACACGAAGGTCGCTGGTTCGAGCCTCGGCTGGGTCTGTTACCATTTCTCTGTGGAGTTTGCATGTTCTCCCTGTGTTTGCATGTTTTGTCCCTTCGGGTGCTCTGGTTTTCCCCAACAGTCCAAGACACGCAGTACAGGTGAATTGGGTAGGCTAAATTGTCTGTAGTGTATGAGTGTGAATGGATGTTTCCCAGTGATGGGTTGCAGCCGGAAGGGCATCCACTGCGTAAATAACATGCTAAATAAATTGGCGTTTCATTCTGCTGTGGCAACCACAGATTAATAAAGGGAATAAGCCAAAAGGAAAATGAATGAATGAATGAATGAATAAATAAATGAGGTTTGTTTCACAAGACTTAATGTTAGCTCTTTTGAAACACTAAACTTTGCTTTGGAACACTGTATGTGTTCTATTTTACTTTTTTATACTAGAAATACTAAAACTATACGTGCAGTTGAAGTCAGAATTATTAGCTCAAGCTATTATAATTCCAGCTGCTTCTGTGTTCTACTTTGCGGGTATTTAACCAACAAAGTGATGTCCTGCTGGACACGTTGCTGTTTCTATGTGAAGTCATGAAAGAGGTCTTGCTCTGTGCCACCTCATGACTATAGATGTGTCACAAATAATGAGAATATATATATATATATAAGTCCTGATTGGGATGTAACATCTGATTCCAATTAAGTCTGAAAACGCGTAAACGGACCCGATTTCCAATTACGTGATCGGATCTGGACATCCCTAGTTAGCTAATGTTGCTTAATTTGGGTTTATATAACCCAGCATTTCTTAGAGTGTACAAAGTAGAAAAAGTAAACTGTAAAAACACCGTATTTTATTTGTGAGCACTGTATGGGTGTAAGGACAGTAGCCCTAATTTAGTTCAGCTGGTGATAAAATAAAACAAAAGAAAAATGTTTTATGTAAAAAGGAAATATGCTTATAATAATTTACCAGTCAGAATTGAACAAATAAACAAACAAACAAAAAAGATATTGGCATCCTTCCTTCTCATGAAGTAGAAATCCCTTTTGTTGAGGTCTAATGCTGTGATTGTTTGTTGTTACAGTCTAACTTCGGGCTGATGGTCAGTGGTCCGCCTCGGCTGCCACTCTTCTACTCCCCCATAGACACTGTGGATATCAGTGTGGAGATGTGTGGCATCACATTCCCCAATCCATTCGGTCTGGCCAGCGCTCCACCAACCACCAGTGCCGCCATGATCCGCAGGGCCTTCGAGCAGGGTTGGGGATTCGCCCTAACTAAAACCTTCTCATTGAACAAGGTATTTACAAAGAGAATGCACACATAATGCAAAAGCAAACAGCAGAGTTTTTTTATGTATTATAATTTTATGGTTCAGTTTTATTATTCAGATTATATATATATATATATATATATATATATATATATATATATATATATATATATATATATATATATATATTAAACTATATTAAGAAATAGTTTTTTGTTGGTCATTTTAGCATTAATTAGTACTTTGATTTAGTGTTCATTTAAATAAATAAATAAATAAATAAATAAATAAATAAATAAATATATATATATATATATATATATATATATATATATATATATATATATATATATATATATATATTATAATTGTTTAAAATAGTTTTAGTATTTATTCATTTATTTTTTGTATTCATTTCAGTGTTTTTTTCCTATATAATAAATGTAAAAATAATTATTCAAAGTAGTGTTAGAATTTATTTGGGTGTTTATTTATGCATCGTTAATTAATGTATAAATATTTAAAAAAATTATTTATAATAATTTTATTTATTATTAATTAAAATAATTTAAATAATTATAATAATAATATACAATTATTTATCATTATTGTAATAGTTTAATAATTTTAAAATATTAATTTATAATAATTATAATAATTTACATATTTTTAGTTTTTATTATATAAATAAATATAAAAATATTAAAATATTAAATATATAAATATAATTGATAGGTATATAAATATTGAAAATATTTCTCTGTTTATTTATATATAATACACTTATTTATAATTATTTAAAATATTTTTGTATTGATTTAGGTGTTTATTTGTGTATAATTAATTTGTTTATTATTATTATTATTATTATTATTATTATTATTATTATTATTATTATTGTTATTTTATATTTATTTTAGTTGGTTATATTATTATATACATTTTTTTTTTTTTTTTTTTTACATTTTGGAAACAAATTATTTTCATCAGGTTTTGTTCCGAGTACCAACACTAATCTGAAATGCTTGGGTTTTTTTTTGTCTTTTCAAATTCCTTTATATATTTAAGGATCATCTGTAGCAATAAAATGATCACAAAACATCAGTCTCTATTTTCATCCCTCCTCTTTTAGATGTGTTATAATATTTCCAATTAAACCAGGATATTAAATGAGAAATTCTACGAATGTTTATTCAATTTTCAATCCACATGTTTTGATTTCATATGATGATATCTCAACAAATCTGACATCTCTTTTAAAACTTTAGAGGACATGAAACAGCAGGGGAAAAATGGTTCATAAAAGTGTTTGCTCTCAAGAAACAGCTGAGATGTCATGACAGTTCTCAGTTTTCCTCCAATCTCTCAGGTAAAAAAGTATATTTTTATGAGGCTCCTGTTCAATTTAATTAAAGAACAGTTAACAGACGAACCCGTTGGGGGGGAAATGTGATATGACACCACGACAGATGTTCTTCTCACCTCGTCTTTATTCTGCTCTTATAGCTATTTAAATGTGATTATGAATTGTTGTAAATTGTGAATCTTCGAAATGAACATGCACTCTTGCACTTTTAATTATCCGTACTTTCCTAAACTTTGCATTGAAAAAAATGTAGTTACAATTTGTTTTATTAACAGTTAACTATAGATGCTTTTAGCACTGTCAGTATTAATCAGCAAACATATGTTTGTTCAGTGTTGTCTGCGTTTCACTCATTAGAAGAATAAGAAAATAAATACTAAATGCGATAACACACACGCATCAAAGATTAAAAAAGTCAAAGACGAGCTCTCAAATTCATGATAGACACAGCTATAGTAGCACATCCAGTCCCATATGCTGCTGACAAGAGGCAGAAACGGCGAAGATTGAGTCAAATTGTTTATTTCGACCCCATGAACTTGGGCGCTCGTCTGATTTCAGACATTGAGGGACAGCATGTGAAGTGTGTAAATGATGTTTTCTCCTGCTCTGATGTGTGTGTGAGTGATGTAGCTGTTCCTGGTTTATAGACGCCTGTCACCTGCCTCCATTTCTGCGTTTATAAACTGCGCGCCGGCCCTTCGGAAAAGGTCAGCTTTTTTATTTTCCAGAGACGAACGCTGGTGGGAGGGAAGAGAAGCGTTTACAATTGAAGTCGGACGTCTGTTTATTTTTTTCACCATCTGGATACTTTGCTTTTAAAAAAAGAGACAATTCAACCAAAATGAAAGAAAGATTATTTGTTATTTACTCAACCTGTGTGTGTCTTTTTAAGCTTCATTAGTTTCCTTTTTTGGTTGAACACAAATTAAGATATTTTAAAACATGCTGGGTGGCACGGTGGCTCAGTGGTTACCGCCTCAGAGCAAGGAGTTCACTGGTTCGAGTGCCGGCTGTGCCAGTTGGCATTTCTGTGTGTAGTTTGCATGTTCTTCCCGTGTTGGTGTGGATTTCCTCTGGGTTCTTTGGTTTCCCTCACAGTCCAAACACAAGCGCTATTGACAATTTTGAGCTTCTGAAAATCCCAAAAGAGCCACATATTGATAAATGAATTTATGATAGTTGTTTTAACATTAAGTTACGATTGAATTGCCTCTTGTTACAGTAATGAAATAGTTCAATAACAAGCAGGAAATGTTCATGGGCCAATGGCATGACCACTTTGAAATGGTCTATAGGTGAACTGAATAAACTAAATTGTCCGTAGTGTTTGAGTTTGTGTGTGAATAAGTGTGTATGGATTTTTCCCCGTATTTAATTGCGGCTTGAAGGGCAATTAAATACGCTGGTTCATAGTTGGTGGTTCCTTCCGCTGTGGTGACTTGTGAAATAGAGACTTAATGAATGAATGAAAGATGTTGGAAACTGGCAGCCATTGAGTGTTAAACATCAAAACATCACCTTTTTGTGTTAAACAGAGGAAACAGGTTTGAAAAAAGGGAGTAAAATAGTGAACTATCTCTATACACCATCTGGATGCTTTGCTTGAATTTTAATATTATTGTTTAGCATATTTACTTGTTATTTTCTCATCTCATCTTATGTTATTTTCTTTTTATTAATTTTATGAGTTTCTTTTCATTGGACATTTTAATGAGTGATGAAGATGGTAAATTAGGTTATCTTCCATCCATTCCATATCCGTTTTCAAACAAAAGAAAAGGAAAACTATGAAACCGGCTGCTTTTTGGTTTGTCTTTTGTTCACCAAAAAAAAAAAAAAAAAAGATTTTTACTCTATTTTTGTGTTTTTGGTTGAGGGTAGGAGAATAAATAAACAACTTTAATATTCATTATTCACAAGTAGGCTGTGCTGAAACACACTTTTTCTTCTGATTGGCCAACCAAATCTGAGCTTGTGACACCACCCTTAAAAAAAAAATAGTCCTATACATGTTTATAGTTAAAAGAGGAGAAGAAATAAATGAAAAACAAATGGTACCCTTTGTTTTAACCCCAGAGCCCAATGTGTTCTTATTCTGGTCCTCCAAACAACCATTAAAGCAAAAACTGAACAATAAAAAACACAAAGTAAACATTATTATTATTATTATTATTATTATTATTATTATTATTATTATTATTATAAAGATCTGCTTGGAAACAATCATGCAAACCAGCTGTCTTTGCTCAGAAAGACATTTAGCAGCAAACTATGACCTTATTTTAATGACAAATGTATAGTAATACTGCTAATTTACATGCTATCAGCCAATCAGATTCGAGAACCAGACAGAACTGTTGTGTGTGTATATATATATATATATATATATATAAATGGAAATCTAAAATGGAAATCTAGTTTATTTGTGTGTGTGTGAGCAAAATGAAAAACGACCATTTTCTTAGTTTTCCTTTTTTGTTTGAACATTTCAATTCAAATATTGTCAATTAATCAGGTTTAGTTTGAAATGTAGATACCATCAATTAAGTGCTAAGACTGACAGAAAATTAAATGTTGCTGTTTTCTACACCAAGATTGATCAGGTATGTTTAATTACAGGAACTAAACTGCAGAGCTGCGGCACACCAGGAATTGAGTTTGACACCTGAACACTGCTGTCTACTCTCATTCTATTGTAGAAATCCACTTTGTTGCTGTACCATGGCTGCAGCCGACACAATCTTATTATACAGATTCTAACAGAAGGTACAAACATAAGGCTTGATGCTGGGAACATTTTTCAGCCGCTGTGTAGTTTATTAGTAGCAATAGTTCCTAGACATATCAGCCTAGACAATAGTTTCATTTTCTGTCAATCTTAGTACACAACAGAAATGTCAAGCTGTAAATATAAAAATTAACAAAAAATTACTTTATTCTTAGAGTGAGATGCTAATGGTCTAATTTGATTAAATGATTTATGCTAAGCTAAGCTAAAAGTGCTCTTTGTCACACCTGGAGATCGGCAGAATAAATTCAAAAACGGTAAAACCCAACTCAAAACTCAACATGTCTAAAAAATTGAAGAGTGGAGTGTTTCTTAAAGATTGCATTATAAGAGTCTTCTTCCTGGACGAATGACAAAGTTCTTTGAGTTAACTTCGTTGTTTTTTTCCCCCCTCTTTCCACCCTCTTTTCTCTCGTGTCCTGCTTCACTCTTGACATTTGTAGATGCCAGATTGGGCTGTAATATACTGTTGCATCTATTGCCCGCCAGCATATGCTGAAATACCACCTGATATCTCGGTAAACAGAAATCATATTATTCTTTATTGTGTGCTCAGTGGGAGAGATTGTAAGGGGGCTTTTCTTTGGGGAAAAAAGATAAAGGAGTTCTTAATGTCAATATGAATGAACAGCCGCTACGCCACTATCACCCACCTTAAACACAGGGGATTTCTCTTTTTTTAATATCCTGTGTGTTTTTTTTCTGTTCTTTTTCTCTCCGCTGAGCTATTGATAGAATTTAAGATGCTTGGAGAATTGTCTACGAATATGAGAATCTTCACGCTTTTGGGTCTCGTCGTTTGTGCTCGGTATCGCTAATTAGCTCGGTATCACGCTAGACCGGTGGAGAACTGCCTAACAAAGCTCTGTG